TAATGAAGTTTAGCTTCAGTACTGCCATCAGCTAACTGCGATTGGGATTCCCCAAAAGGCATCATACAGTCAGTGTAGCAGGAGCTACTGTATTATTCCGTGGAGCTTGTAATGTCAAAAGATGAACAGTTTGATGGGTGGATACATTAGAGGAGCCTATCGCATCCTTTTTCTCCTATGTGGATACAGCAGTTATTGCTTTGACATAATTGACAATTATTAATTGAGTGGATATTTCCCATCCATCAGTTTTCTAAAGCATTTCATCCAGTATAGGATCACGGGGGAGCCAGAGCCTAATATGGCGAGCAATTGGCACAAGGCGGGATACACCCTGGACAGGACACCAATCCATTGTAGGGAAGACACAGAATCCCATACTTACACCAGTGTCAAATTTACTGAAGTCAATTAACGTACAAGCATGTCTTTGGACTGTTGCAAGACACAAGAGCCCTGGGAAAAATTTTTACAAAACTAACCTTAAAATAAATAATACTAAAATATACACACTACTAAGATCATATTTAAGAAAGTTTTTGTACAGTTCACCACTTTACAAAAAGGATACTACTACACTGGAAATCTAAGAGGAAATATAATTAAACCGGGTCTCAAAGGAATGTCATACAATGAAATGTAAAGGAACTAAATCATTTTAGAAGGGAAATCTTAGATAATATTCAGATCTTAAAAGGTATTTAAAAAGTTAACCAGGATACCTTGATGGATCAGGTGTTGATACCCAAGCAAGCTAGATGGCCCAGAATGCTCTGTCATTTGTTTTGTTCTTATGAGCCTGGGATAAGTTAAATTATACATTTTTTATTATAAATATAGCATAATATGGTAATATAAGTATAATTTACTATAATATCGTAAACTTACAATTCATCAGGTTAATCTTATTTTCTCTGCTTTGGGTTGTGATTGTAACCACATTATCAGCATTATCGAAATTGTACAGAAAACGATAAATATGCTTAATTGATAGGTTTCTTGTCAAAGAAGTGGCTGACTTAAGAATCTCTGCTTCTATTATACACTAAGTCCATGAGGAAATCTGTGTAATGCTACTTAATAAAGATGTACAATTTGAAATGCCTCCTCTAATACTCTTTTTACAATAGCACACACATCTATAGGTCTTTTCTAACCATCTATAGGTCTGCCTGGCATTGGTTGGCTTTCTTAATTTACATCTTCATTGGAAAGGTGAATTCTGAATCATTATGCAACTTACATCTTATGTAATGATGAAAATCTGTGGACAGTTGTGTTGTCTATATATATATTCTTTATTCTCTATCGCTCTGGATTTGTTTGTTGTAACTGTTGCCTTTGATCTTTTTGTATATAATTGTGTATGATTGTTTTCTTTTTTCACTGTTCCTGACTTGTTTATTTTCAGTAGTTCTCCATAGCAGTTATCTAGCACTTTCATCTATGATTACAGTTACATTTTATGATGAGAGTCTTTTAAACGTATAATTGGGTATTATCACTATCTAGAATATATCTAATCAAATTAAGTGAAACCTTTTTTCCTCCACCAACATGTTGCATACTTGTTATTGACCCTGCTTTGGACCATTGCTTGAGTCTCTTGCAGTACAGGTGTGAATATGTAAATGGTGCCATAATTATGCTTGCTTGGTGGGCTAAAGAAGTAGGTGTGAACATAGTTGTTACCCAGCTGAAAAAAGGAGGAAGCAGTCATTAAGAAATTGCTATTTCCATTTTGAATGTTGATGTTGATTTCTTTAGGGACTTTCATTCCTGAATATTGAGGAATCTTGTGTGCTTAGTTGGTTGCATGCAGCCTTTCTGGAATTGTCAAATAGCATAGGTAACAAAATAAACCAAAACCTTCACTGAGTAAATGGAAAGGATTTACTGTACAATAAATGTGGCACATGAGATCACCTGAAATACAACATTCAACAGTACTGCTTAATTTGAATGTTGCTGCATAACAACTTCATAATCCCTTCATATCTGCTACACATGATGTTAGTACCAATCACTATAAATGATGCTAAAACAAATGCCATGACCTCTTATTCTCAACATGTAATTTGAGCATGTCTGTATAAAGCATTATGCATGTGATTAAAACGTCTTGTGTAGCAGTTATGAAGGGATTATGAAGTCATTATGCAGCAACATTCAAATAAAGCTTTACCAAAATGATTAACCTGATTCTGATGATCTTAGTGTCTAACATCATAATCCAATGTTGAAACTACCACTGATTCATGGAGTTTATAACAAAAGTTCAGGAGGGATGACAACAACCAAGCTCATCAGACTCAGCTGTCAAAAATTAGCAATCGCTCCTGACAATCAATTCCTCTCCCAAACGCTATAAATTCCTACGAGCTCCCTACTGTACCTCTCTCTCTCTTGCTTGTCTCTTGCATCCCACTTCCACCCCATATCCACCTCTGTAGCTACCTCTCGGTCATCCTGCATGGCGGTCCTGGTCTCCTTGCCCCATGGCCGGGAGGCCAAACCTCAGCCAAGTGGGTTAAACCACAATTTCACTCCATGATGCTTTCATCTTTGGTGTTGTCATACCTTGTGAAAGCTCATAAGTTCTTAGAGTATAGAAAGTATGATGTTTAAATTTGATTCAAAAATGTAATTTATTAAAATTAGCGGACCTATGTTAGGGTCTCAAACATAGTCCTAGAGAGCTTCAATCCAGTTAGTTTTACAGGTTACCCTAAATCACCTGATATTTGAATATTAGGCACAAATGCTTAAGCAATTGAGAAATTAAGCAAGTAATGAAGGGAATTAAAATCACTGTACTTTGAGGATTGAAGGATATTTTGATATATATATTTTAAATGATCTGATCATTTCAAAATATTCTCTAAATTACCAGTTGAATACACAACCTGTTTACTTCATCATAGTTTAATTGTTCCAGGCCTTTAGGAATTGATGACTTAAAGGCTACCTAAAAAATCTGCTGTACTGGACTGGGTCACTCCTGGACAACCTGAGTTGAAGACGCCTGACCTGTGATGAGCTGTTCTTACTATATAATTTATGAGAGTTTACCTTGCAATGTTTTTCAGGAACATTCAATTACTTAATCCCCATCTTCACACAAATAGCAGTTTGCAGGGAAAGATCCTTAAGTTTGTGTGTGTGCATTTTAGACGTTTATGAAAGTAAAGTCGAAATTATGTGCTAATTCAGCTGTTATGTTTTCAATAGAATTAGGAGAACAGGGGATAGTTGTTTTTCTTTATCCAGATGTCCGCATGATTGGTTACATTTAGTTGGTTTTACAAAAGCGGCGGATGAGACAACCACAGGAAAATGCTGATCTAATCCATCTAATTGAATTGTTGCAAATACTGTATTTGTTATCATTATAGAGGCTATAAGTTTCTATCTATACAAACTTTCAATCAACATACACGCAAAAAACTAAACCATAAAACCTCTGAGTTTGGAATACTTCATGTTTCAAATCAGTTTCGAGATTTTAAGATCTTTAAAAGGCGCACGTTAATATAAATGAAGTTCTATATATATTTAATTTAACCGTTAGACGTATATGTTACGTATTAATACATTTACAGGCAAAGCAATAACTATTCACCAGCAATATAATACAGAAAGCTGCTTGTAATTCACAATTTATCATCGAGTCATTACTAAATCATCAGCTAATTTGAGATTTTTCAAGTCTCACCGGTTACCGCTAAATTAAAGTTAAAAATGTTGAAAAACACTACAATTGAAATTGTGTCATCAGACTGACATCTCATAAATATACATTTTTTAAGCATAAAACATACACGTAATGGAAAGAATATGCATTGTAGGATTTAATGCAACATCTTAAAGGGTGATACGTAAATTAATTTACTATTGTGTTTTTAGTCGTTGTTGTGGCAAAACTACACATATTGTGGATAGAGAGTAATCAGACGCGACATCGTTCGAAGTTTATGTTAAAATATTTTGAACAAGCAGTAGTAATCTGATTCTGATCCAGTGTGTCTTAGATGCAGCCTTGAAGAGAATGAGTATTTCAATTAATGTGCACATAAAAACAAAGTGAGAACGGTTAATAGCAAGGAACATTTTAAAACAGTGCTCAAGATTTCCAGGTACTGTAGGTATTGAATTGGATGCGGCATCTGTATGTTACAGCTTCCTTTCCGCTTCTGGCTTTTAGGTCAGTTAAATTAACTACAGATTCGAAAATTCCTAAGGTGCTTGAATTTTCCTTGCTAGAGCTTGTAAACACTTGCTAGAGCTAGAGAGTTGCACTGGTTTTGTTTTTTTCAGTAACAAGAGGTTTAATTTGATCTTTTTTTCTATAACTGTCTATTACAGCCTATAACTGTTTTAATATTCTTTTTCAGCAGAATACGAATGTTATGATTTTAGACTTTAATAATTTAGCTGTGTCTCTACAAGTATCATCTGCTAAAGACGAAATCAATTCAAGACTTAAGAAACCAAACTGTAACAATATTGAAATCTATCTTCACTGGTGTTTGAAATGTTTGTTTGTTTTTTTCAACATATGATATACAGTATGGCCAGCAAAATTTAATTTAATAACTAAGAAAAACTGAATTGTTGGCTGTATCCTACTGGTATCGCAGAACTGTTTGAGTATTTCAGGGGAGGGTAGCAGGATAATCGGCCATATATCAGAAGCGAGCTAAAACCACTTCGAAATTTCATTGCAGGTGCAAAGGAGTAATACTATGATGCTTGAATATATTAAGAGAGCTAATTTTCTAAAAAATATATTTTTAAATCTAAAATTTATTTTTCCTCTTCTCGCGTGGTGTTTGACAAATGTGCAATTGTTGATTATATTAGGCCAAGATAAAAACTTGTTTGTATTTATATATCCAGTCACAAGCAAACAATTGTTCAAATTAAATTTCCTCGGGCGAAGACGATCGTTTTGTAGTTGAGTAAAAGACGTTCATCAGTAAGAATTGCCAGCATTGTATGGTAAATGTGCCCCCCCGGTGCGATGTAGTTTTAATGCCAGAAAGAGTTCGGGGATGGGTTTCTTGGCTACATGGCCGACTGATTTGAATAAGCCTGTGATGTTTGCGTCTTGGTTTCATTCAGTGGGCGGATGCATTGTGTAGACTAGTGTGAATGTTGCGATTTAGCTCAGAAACTCCAATGTTAATGTTCAGGGTGCAGTGAAAGACACTGTTCTCATCCAAGGACCAAAAGGATACGTCGATTACTGTAAACATATTTTGGACTCAGGTGGAATCTGTCGGCTTTTGGATTTTGAAAGGCTGTTCGGGAAATGCATTTTGAGTAATTCTGTTACATTCTCTGCTAAGTAAAAAGGAGTCAGTGTACTGGGATCTCTGATGCCGTTATCGTCTGAGGTGAGCTTGTTACTGTTTTATATCTATTCTGACTAACTGATTGCAGTTATGTTTTGTGTTTTATTTTTATTATGGGCATCAACACATTTTAAAATATGTTTATGAAAATTTGAATCTTTCTGGGTATAAAATGCTAAAAAATGCAGTACTTTCAACCTGATGTCTTTGTAAGATCGTTGCATCAAAAGCTACTGCAGGTCATCGACTTCAGCTACACGCATGATATTTTTTCTTTTACATGGTTATAGATACGAATTCTGCACCTTGAAATGAGTAGCACAGGCATAAAATCCTGTATTTTGATAACTGATTCAAATGGTTTGTCATACAATTTAAAGCTAAATCTGTTGAAAGCTTCTCCCTTTGAAACAGTTGTGGACAACAAAGACGTTTTCTCTTGGTGCGTTTAATGTTTTGTTTGCTGTATAGTGTGCTGTACATGATGAGAAGCGGCTAGAGCAGATCCACTTAATGGAAGCCGTCCGTACTGTGCTTTGGATGAAATAGTGTTGCGTAAAGATTAAAGATTTTCAAGGAATAACTAATAGCTATATTACCCTTAATGATAGCATATTTATTGTTTAACGATATTCACGTTTATCAGATAGTTATAACACCCGACTGTCGTATTTAAAAATACTACCACTTAACAGGTTAGCTTAGGTCTGTTAGCTGAAGTTATGATGACCATGCAAGAAGCCATTCACTCTCTAGTACAAGAACTAAGCCCTGGAAATGGTCCGTCCGCATTCGGCGTGATTGGAAATGTCTACGATGTTATTGGTGGTGGATTGGTTGCTTTTTTCTACGTTTCTTTTCTTTTAGATTTATTTCATGCTACGCTGTTGATCCAAAATTAAGCGTTTATAAAATGTACCATACAGTAATAAAGTGTTTAACACAATACATATGCACATTGCGGTGCATAAAACGACAGTCATTAAAACATACATTTATTGTTTTCATTGTTTTGCTTGTGTAAGCATCAGGGATACCACCATTTGTCACGTTAGATGAATATACTAATAAGGGCTTTTGGTGCTGGATATTTCCCATGTTAAAGTTTACGGTAATGTTAAAAATGCCTTAAATGAAATCTGCTGCAATTTGTGATACAGCACATATACACAAATCAGGTGACTACGGTAGTCAACTGAATTTTAAGTGTGAAATCGTTTTCTCCGATGTTGTGCAAAATGTCACGCTTCTATATTTGGGAAAAGCAGCTGTTTGAGTCACACAAGTTTCCCGTCAGATAAATTGGGTTACTCATATTCATACTGATGATTACAGATTTATATTAGTTTTGACCCATATTTAGAAGGGTATAATAAGGTATAATTTTTACTCGGTCTGATTTTTGTAACCCCAAAAAATGTGAATTGATTTCTATAGATATGTTTATCTGTTATGGTAGAATGTTTTAGTATCAGAGATCAGAGACAGCACCATTGTTGAGTATATTACTTTATAACATCTGTGTGAGATATTCAGTTACTGAATTAATTAGGTTTGTGTACATCAATCATTTATGTTTTATCTAATAAATGCATGACAGCTCACTCATATTCCTAACATGTTTGAAATTTATTTTACATTTTAATGCTTTTTTTGGCTTGAAATATCTTATCAGTGAATTGTTGTTGTTTTGCTTTCCATGTATGCAGTTTTCAATGGACTTTGAACTGTTTACTTTGTGAGGTTTCTAGGTGTGCTGAAATAAAAGAGGTCCTTCCTCACAGAATGTCAAGAACAAGCTAGCCAGTGAACTATTGCTTTGAAATCTGTTTTGCACTGAAAATATAACAACCGTATACAGAGAATACATTTTTCTAGAATATCTTGTTTTTTCTCCTGTGTGTTGGTAATATAACTGTGAGCAGTAATATATAATAGTTACCAAGATTAATGTTTACAATCTCATTCATGCTTATTGTAAAAGTCTGTGAGGAAATCGGTTGTTTCAACAGTCCAGGGTAGTTTTGATTTGTTTATATCAAGGTTTGGGCTGTATAGCTTTCTAGTTATACTAGTTAGCTAGGAACTGCAGTTGATCAAATAAGACTGAATGTGGCCTTACATTGCAGATGGGTCAAAAAGTTTGGACTTAAAACATGTTAATGACCAACATTTTTTGATGAGGTACATCTAATCAAGGATTCACTATGTTTGTAACTTGTGAGAATAATTTCCCTTTTTCCTGTCTTTGATTTTACAGCTTGTTCTGTCAGTTTTTTTGTCATAGTTTTCACCTCATTGATAGAAAAGTTGGCTATTCCACTAATTTTTGCTTTCTCTATGAACTAAAGCACATACATAGTACCTGTTAGTGTTAAAAAAGGGCACATTTATACATTTACCTAAAGTTTTTGATTCTTCACAGTACAGTCAAGTTAGTTTTGGGCAAAAAATAAAACAACAAAATTTTAGCACAAAATTAAATACAACTATGATTAAGTCTGAAATTTCACACTTTTTATTATTTTATGGTCTGATACTAGACTTATTTTTCAAAAAGTCACATACTGTACATGCATATAATAAGGAATTATAAGTCATAATAACCACATATTCTAAAAAAAACTATTTTAGCATGTTTAGAAGAGAGATGAAATAATATGCTTTTACCTTTTTGGTAAAATATCCATATTCCTTAATATCTGTCACCAGTATCTCAACAGTGTAAACAAGACCTGTAGCACTATGATGGCCATGAATCAACTTCCCCATCTGGGAAAAAAGTCTCTTGACTGATAAACAGCCTTTGACTCAAGATGCCATTATAGATACAGTTGTCATCTTCATGTGATATTGTCAGAGTGGGTAGCTGCAATGGTGTGTGAGTATTTAATTTAACACTGAAAAGTTCAAAACAAAAACATCTTTTTACTTTCCACGTTTTAGCCATGGAACCTTCTTGGGGTGTGTGAAAAAGTATTTTTGTTTTGTTTTTCCTACTTTTCTGCTTACAATTGTTTTCATCTTTGAAATGATATTGTTAATAAAATTACAGTTGAATCTGTGAAATGCCTTTTTTTCTAATTCTGCTTCTACATATGAAATCATTTTTTTTAAACACTTAAGGAGTTAAAGTGATACTAAAAGGTTTCCTTTGTAAGTCTGTATGTATATTTTCACTTTTTTCTTGTGATTGTATTATATATTGTTATATATGATTTTTCTCAGCTGATAAGGATATAGTTTTCTTTTATTTGACTGAATGTTTGTGGTAGTAATTTAGTAATTTAAAAATGAATTGTTTCCACACAAGGAGTACAGAAAATGCTGATGATGTCAATAGCAGTTTAATTTTTTTTTCAGTGCTCACCTGTTTGCATCTTGGGACTGACATGTGACCTGCAGACCAAATCTTTATAGTTTCAGATGTGTTATTTATGATCTGCTGCTGCTTTGTTTTACAGGATTATGTTCTGTTGCAGCTGGGATTCGATCTATAAAAAGGCATTAAGGGTGTGTCTTTTTAAAGTACCTTTTCATTCTGTCTACTAGGTAACTTGTTTTCAATCAGAAAGCAGTCTGTAACATTTTCTGTGGTTAAGCCTGCATTACTTACAGGGATGTGTTGTAATAACTCACAGGGTGCTTGTTACATTGTGTACAACTGAATTATGCTATATATAGGTGTTTCAGTTCTGAATATTAATTTACTTTTAATAATTGATGGTGGAATTGTATCTAAAAATGTAGTCCACATTTCATACTTAAAGATTTTTTGTGACAGTGTGTTGTCTTAAATATGGCTGTCTACAGTCGGTATTTAGGATGCTTATGTAGAGCACAGTACTATTCCTTAGTTTCCTTTAAGTCTGTTTGGGGGGGCTTTTAGATTTCATATGAATTCCTGCTGATTAGTTATTTGTTTGTTTTTTTTGTTTTGTTCTCTGGTACATTATAAGACAAGTTAGTGATACAAGTTGCATCAGAGGCACGTTGTTTTTTTTATATTATTCCAGTAAGAGCTGATTTTCCACAGTGGAATGGGAGACAAACACATGGTGGAACAGATGCTGAGGGTACTGAAGTGACTTCCCAGACACCCAGCTATAATTCATTTTGATGCAAATCTCTTTTGGCTTATTGAAAAGAAGGATTAATGGGGTCTCTTTGGCTCCAGCAGGCAACCCACCTTCCGGCTTCAATCTTTGTGTGTGCCCAAATGGTTCCTTCTATAGCCAGCAGCAGTCATGGAGCTCCCTATTGTTTGGAGTCCCCGTGTCCTGTGTTTTGACTCTGAAAGCCGCCATTGTGCAGAGGTGTTGGTAAAAGGAGTGGTGCTCTGCTACGTGCATTAACTCAAGGAATCTGACTAATCGCTCAATAGTTTAGCGCCTCCAAATGCATCTTTCAAGTCTTTTGTAAAGACGTCAAAAAGACCTAGCCGGCAAGATGGTACCATGGCTCGTGCTGGCTCACTGCTACGGGCTGTTCGTGGAATCAGGTGGCTCATTAGCAGGACACTCTGGAACCCTGCCTTTGAAAGCAGAGTTCTGTAAGCATTAGGAGGAGGTGGTGGATAAAAATGGCGTGGGAATCTGTGCCGAGGATCTGATTGATACCACAAGTTGTTTACATGCTGAAGGGCAAGCTAGATACCCCTTTCACAACACACTCCTGAATTGCTGTTTTTTTTTTCCAAGGTCAGAATGGTCACAGTTATCAGAATTTTTATAAATGGGTTTTCTGTATAAAGTATCCATGTGAATCAGAAGTTTTTAAAATAATATTGTGTGTGAGCTTTACTACAAAACATCTGCTGAAAGTTCCTGGAAACTTGGGGTGTGATTAGACCATAAACCGTGTTCATATGAAGCAAACATTTTCTATCCCAGGAATACATTCTCTTAAGAAAGACATTAAAATATAATAGACCAACTGAATGCTTAGACTGTAGTATAGTATATATATTGTATATATATATAGCACCTCGATAGCTTACGGATGAAATATAACTTTTAATTGTCTGAATAAACATTGTTAAACATATGTGTTGTGCATCTGGGATTACTTTTTCCTTTTGTTTTGTAGGAAAATATGCCACAAACACCACCATTTGTAGCTATGTTCTCCACCAGTGGTTATAACCGGAATTTATACCAAACAAATGAGGACAGCTATGGGGGTCTATATTACCACGACAACAACCTTGTGTCAGGATCTGTAGAGGCCCTAATTCAACTTTTAGTTCCTAATGTGGATTACTACCCTGATGTAAGTGCCTGTGTTTCATTCACAATCAAGCCCAAAAACGTTTTAAAGGAATAAACAATGCTTATTGGAAAACAATTAAAAAATAACATAAGTAACAAAGTTTTTAAAACACAAAATGTCCTTATTCACAACAAGTTGTTTAAAAATCATGAGTTAATGTTTACCACAGTCTTTAATGGAAATTAGGTGTTTGAGCTGATGATGAGTATGTCTTTAGTTCAGTGGTGAACTTGTGGAAAAAGACACATCAAAGCAATAAGAATAAAATGCATATTACAATTATCGGTTTTGGTAGTTACTGTGATTATTTTATTTTATATAATATACTATTTACTTGGATCATTGCTGCTTCAGGCAGTGTACACTACAGAACATTAAGAAGTGCTCAGAGTCTTAAGTATCGGGTCTTTTGTTTACAGTTACGGGGTGTAAAATTCTTACCAAGAAAGTGAGCCTTTGAAGCTTTTAATGTTTACTCTTATTTTTCACAGAGAACATACATATTTACTTTCCTGCTCAGCTCCCGGCTTTTCATTCATCCCTATGAGCTTCTGGCCAAGGTGTGCCACTTGTGCATTGAGCAGCAGAGACTTTGTGATCCTGGTGCTGACAAGGTAATGATTTCAGTTAGAGAACATTCTGATAATCTCAGTTTTGGGAGAAAGTGGTAAAAAAGCTACACTTTTTAAATCAGATTCTAAATCTAAATACTTGAATCAAATCCACTAATAGTTTATGTTTAAAAATATTCAGAAAATGTAAAATTTTCTGTACATATGTCAGAGCACCAACATTTTTGTAACTTGCCGACCAAAACTATACTGAATAGAATCCATTTAAATTCTACAATATACAGTATATATACTAGCATTTTGGTTGCTATTTGCATTGCTTTGCCACATTATCAGGAATATGTAAATAATGTATCATCATAAACACCTACAGTAGGTGAACACACTGCTGTTTAGATCTTAGTGTTTGCCATTTCATATCAATATATTTAGTTCTCTCTAAATGATACTCTGTGCCTATCTGTGCTAAGGGTCATCTGCCAGGTGCTTGTCCAATCTTGAATTCCATGAATGTCCATCTTGTTCAATTTCTTTTGAAACTTGTAAAACGTGTTTGCTAATCCTCCTATTTGGTATCATTTGAGAAATAGAATCTAAATCATTTATATAAATTAGGAAGATCATTAGTTCTAATAGTCATAATGATTCCTGGGGAAATACTATAATTACATCACCACAGTTTCAAGTTTCAGCTTTTATCCTTTAAGACCTTAAAATGCCTTATACTGGGATTCTACCTTTATAGTAATAATTTGTGGTTGTATATAAATGGTATCTACTTCTTCCTGTGTTCACAATAGCACACAAAATCAAATTATCCAGTGTGTATTTATTACTTTCACAATGACTTAAGTAATGCGGCATCCCCTGAAGTTCTCTGATGTTTTGGTTTTCTTTCTTTTTTAACTCTACAGATCAGGTTAAGAAAAATTGCTCCTAAAGTTCTCCAGTTGCTGACAGAATGGACAGATACATTTCCCTATGACTTTAGAGATGAAAGGATAATGAGGAGTCTGAAGGAACTGACCCACAGACTGTTAACTGGAGATGAGGTCAGTTACTGGAATACTTGGAATCTTAAATTAATAGGTTCTACTGCTTATTTTCTTAATAACGGAACATTGCAACTCTCTTTTAGTTTCGCGAATGCACCAGTAGCCATATGCACCAGTAGCCAATGTCAGTAGCCATATCACCCTGCAACTCACAACTGGCAACCCACTGAAGCTAAGCAGGTGTGAGCCTGGTCAGTACCTGGATGGGAGACCTCCTGGGAAAAACTAAGGTTGCTGCTGGAAGAGGTGTTAGTGGGGCCAGCAGGGGGCGCTCACCCTGTGGTCCATGTGGGTCCTAATGCCCCAGTATAGTGACGGGGACACTATACTGTAAACAGGCGCCGTCCTTCGGATGAGACGTAAAACCGAGGTCCTGACTCTCTGTGGTCATTAAAAATCCCAGGGCGCTTCTCGAAAAGAGTAGGGGTGTAACCCCGGTGTCCTGGCCAAATTTCCCCCCTGGCCTTTACCAATCATGGCCTCCTAATAATCCCCCTCTATGAATTGGCTACATTACTCTGCTCTCCTCCCCACTGATAGCTGATGTGTGGTGAGCGTTCTGGCGCACTATGGCTGCCGTCGCATCATCCAGGTGGATGCTGCACATTGGTGGTGGTGGAGGGGAGTCCCCATTACCTGTAAAGCGCTTTGAGTGGAGTGTCCAGAAAAGCGCTATATAAGTGTAAGCAATTATTATTATTATAAAATTATTATTATTACCAGTTCAATCTTGCCACTGACTGCTGTACTGAAATCTTAAAATTGATTGCTTAGATTAGGCAAGATTAAGATTGAAGATATTAGATTAGATTAGGCAACATCATATTGAAAAGCTACTAGTAATAATATATCTCTTTTGTAAACTTTATTGCATTTTTATGGAGTAATATTTCTTTTGATTGACATACCTTGTGGCACATAATACTCTTTTATGTTGGGATGAGCAGATTTTTGGGATATTTTACTTGATTGTTTTTATTTATATAAAAAGGTATGGAAGATTATGTGACCAGAATTTTATAACATTACACAGCAGTTAAACATGCCTTGTTGTTCTTGTTTGCCATCTTTTGTTGTTCTGCATCTGAGATGTTGGGAACTCAGAAGAATGCAGACTCTGCATCTACATCTTTACCATATAAAAAGAAGTTGAAGCAATTCAACTTCCTGAACTAGCTAAAATGGTAGCTTTGCTCACATAGTGAACAGTGCAGCAGGTACTGCTTGTTACAACTGAGGTGGATATAAGTATACAAATTGCTAAAATAGGACTCTCAGCAAGTGATCTTAAAACATAACTTGATTTTAGGTCAACAAAACTGTATAATGTATAACACAAAATTACCAGGCTGGAAGACCATTCCCATCATAACATCCACACAATGGATCTTAAAGAGCGAACATGATGTTCACGTAAGGTTTTTAAGAAAATAATGCATAGTTCCCAACCCTTGCACAGCAGATGAAAGGTGAAGGTGGAGACATTGCAAAGAATCTATGATGACCACTTTTCTGGAGGGCCGTTTCGTGTGTTTTTTAAACTTATGTGATACAAGATGACATCTGCATAAAAAAAGGGGATTCATCCTCATTTATCTAGATCTGTGCAGTAGCTTTTATAGGATTATAGCCCAGTGATTTCCCAGATGAGACATACCCTTTTTGGGGCGAGGAAATTGGTGAGAGAGGTTGGTGTCCAGTCCTTTTTGTCATTGACTAGTTGCATGGGGTGTTGTCAGCAGCTTTTTTTGTACTATCACTGGGATAATAAACTTTCTGTTTCTTCTTTCATTCAAAGTGACACCTGTTAGAACCCAAACTATGAACGCAAAGCGTTTTACAAGACATTACTGTGACATTTTGGTGCAGTCTAATGCTAAGGACAAATAAGAGTTAACCCAGAGACAATGGTTATGATGTGAATGACAACATTATGAGGTATGGTTCATAATACAAGAAAGACTAGAGGCAATGATAAAGGGAAAGAGAAAAATGTAAATCTTGTTTCATGCAGCAGCCCTGTTCATATTTCCTACTTTTGTCCAATCTAAAAGGCTGTAAACTTTACAGTGGAAATATAATATAACCAAGGGAAAAAAGAAATACTTAAAACAAGAGATCAATGTCCCAAATCTAAGAATATACAAGAAAATGATGAGGGTGGGCAGCATATAACATTGTTCTGCCAAGACAACCTTTAGGAACACAAACTTCCCAAACTTTATCCTCCGTATTTTGATCAACAACCTATCATTCTTTTTTTTCCAAAAATCTTAATTTAAAATGGTCCACACTTATTTTCTTCCAATACCTTTTATACAATAAATCTCCACTACCTATTGCTGTGTTACACAAAATATACATATACAGTATTTACACCACAGAGATATGTAACACACCTGAAACCCCTTAAATTTTGTCTGATACTGTTTTTATTATTTTTAATTTTTTTGTATGAGGGTCAGGAGGTGATGGATGAGTCAGAGAGATTGACAATGAAAAACAAATGTTTTGATGTCATGAATCATACTGAAGAGATCAAAGTTAAAGCAGAAGGATACGGTCTCCACATCCTTAGTACATTGAAATTGACTCTTATGAGTATTTTGTTGACATATGGTCTGTTTATCCTCACAGCTACAGAAATTCCCTTTGTCCTGTTTTGTATGAAAATAAAACTAAAAGTAATTTTTATTCCTTTTTTTTACACAGGAGTAACAAAAGGGAACACATTGTATCTGATATTCTTAATGAGAATGGTCCTTGCTTATTTCAGGATTGACAATCTCCATACAAACTGCCTGACTACTTTTTTTTTAGTTAGGACTTTGTATGGTATACTAGTTTTAGGGCCAAAATAAAAGGATTGGCTTTCTCTATGTGTGTCTTTTAGACTTCATATAAACCTTTAGCAGTTCATTATGTTTTACTATAAGATTTTTTAATATTATAGACAAAGTAATATCCTGGGAGGGTCCAAAGCCCTTAACCATCAAAATTATAATCTAATACAGTGTTTATATGATTCCTGGCTGTTCCTATATGAAAAGGATATCTAGTCATTTGTTCATGCTCTGCCAAAGAGTTCTACATACACTTTTTAATATGTTTTGGACTTTTTGATTTTTGATGACAGGTTTCCATTGTGTCCAGTATTATGAATAAAAATATTCCTTGCTCTCATCTAGTACCAGTAAGAGACATTTTATTTTTACATTCTTTTTAACGGACACTTTTACAGCATGCATATATGCAGTGATTTGAATGTATAATTAATTTTTATTTTAATTGCTGACAGACCTACAAACAAGCTAAATTCCAATTGTTTTCCAGAAATAATTTTGTGCTAAAAGCACATTTTCAAAACTCGAATCTCTCCCATGCTTCTGTGTATGGTACCTAAAGTAGTCATGCAAAAATGTTGGCATGTGATGTTTGTAACCATACATTCCTATTAAGCTACTGCACTAATGTCAAGACATATTTTACCTGGTTTTACAGTCAAAAGGATATTTGTCTAACACTATAAAGAAAACATGAATTTGCAATGCCTGTAAACTGCACTAGTTTAACCACAAAATACTCTGAAGAGCCAGAGTGCATAAAAAGAAAAGGATCGTTGTTTGGAACTCAACAGCTTTGTCAGTTGAAGTGGTCTTCCTTAGCCAGCATTTGAATTGTTAAACTATTGCTGACTTGGTATGTCACACAGTTTATCTACAAACTGATTAATTATATGGCTACAGTAGTTTACAATTACACTTGTTTTAAGATAATTATGACAATGCAAAATTACATCAAAAGATTTTAAGTAATTGTCTTTCTGAAGTGATGACAGATGAGAAGGTTTGTGAAATTTGGTTAGTGATGAATATACCTGACAGAGATGATCAAAACTATATGAAATTTGTTTTTTGTGTCGATCTGTGTTTTATTTTCTTTCCTGACATTTTCACTATGGTATTTCTTGAGACTGTGTATTTTGCAGATGCTGTATTATCTAGGGAGAATTTTCAGAAATAGAGAACAGAGGGGGAGTAGACTTAGGTAGCGAAAAGATAATCTTTCCTTTTATAAATGATTAATTCTGCAGTAAAAGTACCAGCTATTGATTCCACCTAATCTGAACTGTTTCACATCCATTCTGCTGGTGACTGTGCAATGTGGATATCTTCCTTAATCCTCTCTGAAGTGAAGCCATGGACCTTTACCTGCATGTCCCTCTCCATATTTGTCTGTGGTGTTTCTTTTTTCTTTTAAAATAGGTAGAAAAATGACAACAGTGTCTTCCATATCTGCACATAGAAATGAACATTGCTTACATAAAGTAGATCATTTTACTATATTAAAATTTGATTCTACCAATTAAATATTTTCTTTGCAAAAACAAAATATATTTAGATAAAAGCACATCTTATCTTTTTTGTTACTTCTTATACTTTTCTGTATATTTGAGAAATAATCAATTTCTGCAAATAGTGAAATCTGTTTTTGTGCTTATTTGGCAAAAATGAAAATGAAGTGATAATAACTATGACAAATGTTCAGATGTAGACTTTTGCATTATTATGTGTATGAAAAATATATTTCTATATATTTATTTATATATATATTTGTTTCCTTAAACAATAAGGCAAATATGGCATTAAAAACCTAATGACCATGTAAATGGGGAGTTATGCTTACATTATTTTTTGTGAATTGTTTCTGTAATCCTCTGTATAATATATAAACAATATAATATATATATAAAAAAGCACATTGTACAAGGTGTTTCTACACCCTGGACTGTATGCCAGGTCATTGCAGGGCACACAAACAAAGGGCAGATTTAGAGCCATCAGTAAACCTAGCCTGCATGATTTTGGAAGTAGATGATGTAGGAAGAATCTGCATTCAATGGAAACCAACATAAACAATATGAAAAATACAGAAGTCACCCTAGTCTGCAATGTAAACCAGGATCTAAAGTCTGTGAAGCAGCTGGGCCTTTTAATCACCATCCAAGTGTAAATGTAAATACAAATAAAAAATAACTCTTGACAGTTCACAGTTGGTACAAACAAATATTTAAGGACAGGGCACTGTTGTCTGAGAGTATTAATTAAGTATAAATCCAAATGAAAATGGATTCCTAAACATTGTAATCTGTTATGGAACAATTGAATTGGCAGTGAATTTGCTTTGCCTCAAGAACCAAATAACTTTTTCATTTTTCCATTTCAGAAAATGAGGTCTCATTCATCAAAATACAGAAAGCTCCACTGTATGATTTCAAAGCATGTTTATATTCTGTGTTTGCATAGCAAACAGTGTGTATTTTTGTTTTGCTGTTGTGCAGATACAGTAGGCTGGTACTAACGGAGTAGTAGATGGCTTGCACTTCTTGCATCAGTCAGCTGAATGCACAATGTCCTCATTTAGATATAATTATAGACCATTATGAGAACAATGGCAGCCACTTTCTTGCATGCTTTAAACTGTTTAAGGCCCATTATTTTAAAATTGAGGATTAACTTACTTCAGTGGAGTTGCAGAGTTTTTAAAAGTGAAGTGCGTCAACTATGTATTTTTTCATTTAATAGCGTTGAAGTGATATTTATTATATTTGTTATGCATCTGTTGTGATTCCACAGAATAAAGTATTTAGTTTAGAATGTGTTTTAATGTACTAAATGCTTTAAACTGAAAAAAAAAAACAATATAAAATGCCTCCAGTTTGTATTAAGAAACAAGTCAATCACATAAAATCAGTGATTACCTGCCAGTAAATCACTCCATTGCTCTGTTGTTGTTTGATTGCTTTGGACATCTCATTACCAGGTTGTCATTTTTTTGCAGTATGAAGCACTTTAAGCACTTAATAAAACAATTAATTTAGAAAGCAGATTTTGTTGTTTTTGCCTTTTCAGGCTATCAGATTTTAGGGGTTCAAAAAGAAAACAAACCTTGAATTGCACTTGCAAAGGCTGAAATGAAATGCAGATTTTAGTGGTAATGAATTGCAGTATAATCCTTTGACCTGGTGAACCACAATCTCAGGCAGGGTGGCAGTATCCCAAAATAGAATTTTGAACATCTGTTTGTGGTGCAGTGCAGTGTATTCCAGGCCACATTTGTATTGCTACCCATTGATTTTCAGAGGCTATCATTATGAAAGTGGTAGGCTATATAGAGAACATTGAGGTCTGCTTTACAGCCAAGAAAAACAAGGCTTCACAAAACAAGGTTTGGGCTGAGCTATGGATTGTATGCTCCTGTGTGAACTCTGTCATGTGCTGTACTGTCAAGAACCATTTCCATCAGTAACACTGTTTACATAACAGTGAGGGCCTTCTGGAGTAGGTCATGTGGTTTTGGTGCTACGTGATCCATGAGCTCCAGGAAAGGAGGAGATAAAGTTAAAAGTGTACTCTAACAGAGGTCATGCAGTGAGCCAGGCTGTCTTAATTTCCCATGATTTTAGCTCAATGCCAGGGTTAACTTTGGACAGAAGGCAAACTGCAGCTTTAACAGCATGTGCTAGAGTAACATGCTGTTTGAAAATGTCAGTCGCTTAAGCTAGTTATCAGAACTTTTTGGTCCTAAATATATTTTAATTTAGTTTTTTTTTTAAATGAAGTCTGGCGTGAACAGATGTTAAAATGAATTTTCTCTTTGAAAAAAGCATTTCTGGAAATACATTTGCAAAGATAAACAATTTATGTAAAAAGGAAAATGTATTTATATAAAGTTTTTGAATGAAGTGATTATTTTCAATTTGTTAATACTTTGAGTTCACAGATGATATTAGGGTTTTCTCAAATTTCTTAAGTTCTGGTCAAACTGTCATTTTGGTTGTTTTTTTCTGCATACATTTCAACAGATTGTAATGTTTAAGTCTTGTTTTGTAGTAATACAAAATATGAGGACCACCATTGTATTCTTAGCTACCAATCATTTTATGGAATTCTGGAATTTCCAGGTTACTATAAATCAAAACGTTTTCGTTTTTGAAGGAATTGTAATCTTGTAACTTAAATGGCAAAGCAAAAAATGTTGTTGTCCCACAGACATTATTATAGATACATCTTTATTGAATTGTGAAAGGCAATAGTAAATTGGTATTTTCTGTACCATACTTTTATACAAAAGTGAATGACTAATTATGCAATCTGAGCACCACTCATATCTTGTCATAACTCTATTAATAATTTCTGAATCATCAGGAGCTCCTCTGCTTCACTGATGTTTAAAGGAAAAACAGTCGGTCAAAGAGATTCTTAAGCTTTTTAGTTCTAGAATAATTCCTTGCATTAACATGACACTTTTCACCAAAATGCTTTACATATAGGAAGAGATTTAATGCATGACTGAAGTACACCATTCTATTAAGTGAGATATGGAAGACAATTTATACCAACAGCCCCACTACACAGGTGGTGAAGTGAGAAATATTTGACCAATTTAATTAAGGGGGGAATATAGATAGGGTAGATTGTCCATGGTGGAATTTAACCACTTTATGACCCAGTAGTCGGAGCCTGATTTAATATCTCATCTGAAGGACAGTACCAGTTATAGCATAGTGTCATAGTCGGCATACTTGGGCATTAGTTTGGAAATTTAGGCCTGGGGGAAGAGTCTCATGCTGGAAGAGTTAAGACTCATGCTGGTTCTTTAGCATCACTTGTAGCAACAACCTAATTTTCTTTACCATCCCAGTACTGACCAATTCCAATCTTAAGACTATTAAGTGGTAGCACAGCTATCAAGGTAACTATTTCTGAAAATAATGTATTACTCTTGTCTGACTAATTTATTATAAGATAGGATTGAAGTCATGTGCTACACTGATCACCTTACAGCGTGCAGCTGATTGACGGTGGACATTTATATTTTCCTACTGCTTATCAGACAGATGGTTTAAATAAGTAGCAGTGGTTCTTGAGTGGTGGCATGAGACATCCATCTTACTAGCACAGCAAATAGTAGATACTCTGAAATAACAGTCAGTATTGTAAACTTTAAAAATGGAATAATAATAATAATTTTCCTGATAGTAAATAATAAGTAGTGTGTGACTAGAATGACAGCATCTCATCCATCCATCTATTTTCTAACTGCTTCATCCAATTCAGGGTCATGGGAGACAGAGCCTCATCAAACAATGGGCACAAGGCAGGGTACACCCTGGACCTGGATGCCTGCCCATCACATGACACACATACTCGCCAAGGTCAACCTACCAGTATGTCTTTGGATTGTGGAAGGAAACTATCTTATAAATAAGCTTAATCTCATTCTTCACTTAAAAAATAATATAATCAAATAAAAAAAAGAATTAGAAAACACCAAGAAAAAACTTTACCTGTTCTATCTTTACCTACTTACTTCACAATGAAGGAATTCATTTGACCATCTACTTACTGCTCCCCACTTACAACATTCCGTAGCCATAGGTTCACTAAGGTAGGTCTTTTGTACCTCTAGGGTTGTGCCTATGCAATGGTTGGCTATTCTTTTGCTTTGGCAGAATTGTACTACTCTTGTTGGGAATTAGGCTAATTACTTATTCTTCTGTTTTCTGGTTCAGATTTACCGTAAGGCTGTCCAGCAGATGACACAGTCTCTCATTCGGAAACTGACTACACTAAGCCAATACGAAGAGGTGCTGTTGAAAATAAATGCCACTGTTCCAGATAGGCTGACTGTGCTCAAAACCAAACCTCAGTCTATACAGAGAGACATTGTGACAGTATGTAGCGACCCTTATACGTTAGCACAGCAACTTACCCACATAGAGCTGGTAAGTGAATATGTTCCCTATTGGTGGAGTATTGTGAGAAGAATAAGTTACAACAGTACAACTTAATTTAAGTTTATACCATGCAAGTCATTTTTGTCTTTTTATTTTTTTAATGTAACAAAGCTTTGTTTGATTGTATATAGCAATGGAAAGTTTGAAATGCTAATAAGGCTTTATAAGATCTTTAATATTAGAGAAAAAGTACTACTTTTAATTTTAAACTTTCATTTAGATATCTCTTACAGTGCTATTAAATCAGTACATCAGTTTGATTTATGTTAGATACTGCACAAATAATTGTTACTTCTTTGTTGTGGCTAAAAGATATAAGTACATCATGTATATTGACTGTAAAATATTAATGTTAATATTGATGTGGATTTTTTTTAGGAGAGACTGAGTTATATAGGTCCTGAAGAATTTGTGCAGGCATTTGTGAATAAAGATCCCCTAGACAACGAGAAGGTACAGTACCCAACACTGCCTGTACTCTGTCAGAATAGGTACTGCTTGCATTTATTCTTTAGTTACAGGGGAAGTAGATTTTACTAATCAATTCACCCAAAATTGGTACCTAGTATACTCACTAGTTTACCTTGGCAGTACAATTATTATTAATTTATGAATATTTATTAATTAATTTCCCAGAATTATTAAAATTTGTAAATATTGTTTCCCAAAGGGAAATGTTCCAGCACATGAAGTTTAAAGAAAAAATAAACAATTTTGTAATATATGCTAGATATTGTAGCCTGATTCAAACTTAATACTGACGAAAAGTTTTGGAATGTAATTTATATGGAAACACCAAAACCTCCTGTGAAAGGTTTATTTCTTTCAACAAGCAGTGAAATAATGTACCTACATGGTCTCTGTCTCCAGCATTAAATCATGGGGTCTAGTTATTTAAAAAACAAAATGTAAAATACTACTTCTAGCTCACTAGCAACCTTTAGATTTCAGAAAAGGATACTCCTTACTAAAAGCGTAGCAACCAATCAGTATGACAGACATGCACATGTTTTTATGAGGCTGCATTTACAGACCAGCTTCTGATTGCTTTTTGCTGCTAGGCAACAGTAACTTCTGTGATATTTCATATAAGTCTCTTTGTTATGCTGTTGTTTCCAAGGGTACACAACATTTTTTTTAACACATTTTCTGGAACATTTTGCATTTCACAACTTGCTTTAAGCATGACATGTAATGTAATTACACATCTGTGTGTCTATCACATGGACAGTGAAGCTGGAAAAGATGTGTTTTTTATTTAAACTTTAGGAGAAAGTATACAAGGACAGTGGAAACATGAACAGCTGATTGAAGGATTTCAAATGTTTCTAACAATAAAATATCCAGATTCCAATACAGCACATAGTACGTTATTTTACTCGAATCAGATGATGAGGCTATTTGCTGCCTGGTTTATGCATGCTTTATTTTTAGTGTTCACGCATATGAATATTAACTCTCTGTGAAGCCTTACTTAATTTAATATTGCAAGGCTCTGTAGTTTATTAAAAGAAAGCTTTTAGTATCGAAGAGACTCAGCCTTTTGAGAACCAATGAAAAATATAAAATAAAAGCAGAATTCTTTAAATAAAATGTGTATTTTTTTCCAGAGCTGCTTCAATGATCACAAGAAGACCAGAAACCTGGAAGCATATGTTGAGTGGTTTAACAGACTTAGCTATCTGGTAGCTACAGAAATTTGCATGGTATGCTTATCCTTAAAACTTCCCAATGTATCAGATGTTGACATTTCTCTATTCATCTTGATTCTGTCTCATTGTGTCATTGTATATGCTTCAGAGTATTTATTTTCCTTTTTTTGCTACAGCCTGTGAAGAAGAAACACAGAGCAAGAGTCATTGAATACTTTATTGATGTTGCACGGGAGTGTTTTAATATTGGCAACTTTAACTCTTTGATGGCCATTATATGTAAGTACTCTTTTGAAGCCAGGATGATTTTCTTAGTCACAGCAGAAAGGAGTTTTATCATTGAAGAAAATAAAATCAGGAAAGTTTGTTGTTCTTTTAGTCAGGGTTTGAATCCATTTTACTATCTACTATCAAAGACAACATAGAACTACAGAACAGCATAAAGATTTCATCTTATATGGATGAAGGATTTTAGTTGACCTGTTTGTGTCACATAATAAAGGTTCCTTTGCTTAATAATGTCTCACAGTTTAATGATGGCTTTGCACTTAAATGCATCTGTATATATATTTTCAAAAACAATAGGTAAATAGAATAACTGAGAAACATACCAGATTAATAACAACTGCGACCAGTTGTTAATAAGTTACATAAATCAAATATGAAATAATAAGAATACATCACTTTTTGCTTATTTACTTTCTAAAACATTAGAGAAAATAGTATTTAAAATGGAATATAATTCTCCAGTCCTGTTCAAAAACATTGTAGAGTTGCCATTTTCTACAATTTGATATGACATAAGCATTACCACCTAGTAGTCTCATCTCATAAGGTCTCTAAAATAAGCACGGTTGGACTTGATCAGTTCTGAGATGGGAGAGCTCAAAGAACAAATGGCAGGCAGTAATATAATTTATTGACCAGAATTTCCAAACCATTTCTCCAGTACTGTGACAGGGAGTAATGTGCTGGAGGATGAGCTGTCTTTCAGATGAGTTGTAAAAAAAAAGGTTTGTTGAAAAAAAGTAGTTCAGACAACTTGGTTGTTAAAAGAGTACAAAAAACACTATTTGTATTAGCAGGTGATAAAACCTAATTTCCACTATGGACAAGGTTTTTTTTTGCTTTCTGTGCATTCTTTAAAATGTTTCCTCTTAAGTAATAAATTATTATCTCTGAAGATCCTTTCCTATATATCAAGTGGGATATTTTAAAAGTGCTATACAAGTCAAAGCAATTAAATAATTATATTGCAAGGCAAGGTTCCATTTGGTCCTTGGTGGTGACAAGTGTCATAGGCAGAGGTAGTTGTGAAGCATCTTGCCTTCATTGTGAAAGAGGATGAAGGGGAATGTGCTGGCATACTGTCCTGTAAGCAGATGGTCAGTGCTGACCACAGAGCAGGGAATCGGCAGGCTCACTGTGTGGAGAGGCAAGCCAGCTGTCCCTGTGCTGGCCTCTCCCAGGAGACTTTGCCTAAGGCAATGGCTTTTACAACATCTCTCTAGGGAGAATGAAGGAAAATTAGAAAAGAAAAAGAACAAATCAGTCATGGGAAAGGTTTCCTTTCTTGCATACTTTTTGTGTTTATTTTTAATCCACAGCTATGGGACATTGCAAAATAAAAGGAGGTTGCATCTCCTAGCCATCAGTTTAGGCACAGTTATAAATACACAAATTACAGATCAGTGGTTTACAGAATGTTCTTATTATCCCCTGTTAAATCTGAAAGACCTAAAAACTCTTACAACTTTAATATATGCAGGGATCGGGAAGTAACTTGAGTATTAATAAACTATGACACTGAAGGTCATATGTTTTTATACAACTGTATTTAAAAATGCAAAAGGGCAGCACACACAAAAGCTACATTTATTGTTTTACTCTTGTGAAACATATTATAGAGTAAAGCTGTCTTTCAAAAAGCCAAAGTTACTATATTTTAATGGAGTAAGGAGAGCTATATTGCTTTCCAGTGAATCTGTAATCTTCTCTCCTGACGCACAACATCTATATATTCCTCTGACAATTTATATGTCTAAAAAGGCTGGAAAGTTTTAAATCTGTGGAGCTCATTTTCTGAAGAAATCGATTCCAACAGTTTCCACAGTACTACTTTTTTTAAACCCTCCTGTCTTATTTACAAAATCTCCTTTGACCTTACTAAAAACACTTCTAAATTTAATTGTATGTCCTTTTTCATTGTTTCTAACAAGAACTAATCCAGTAATTCCTCACTGTATCTTTGCATCAGCCTCTCTGCTCACTTCTGTTTCCACACACTGAATTCTATCAATTTGTTTTTTCACTCCTTTACTGTCCTTCACTGGAATTCAATTTACTTTTATCATTTCACAATATTTTATAGTATATGCCCCAGCTTCTCAAAGTTCACTTGGGCTGTATATTTAATTGAACAGCTTATTGTTGTTCAAAAAATGTGCCAGCAGCTATATCACCCTGCAACTCACAACTGGCAACCCACTGAACATAAGTAGGTGGGAGCCTGGCCAGTGCCTGGATGGTAGACCTCCTGAGAAAGCTAAGGTTGCTGATGGAAGAGGTGTTAGTGGGACTAGTAGGTACAGCTCATCCTGTGATCTTTGTGCTAATACTAATACTGTGTTCTAATGCTCCAGTATAATGATGGGGAGAGAAAATTATAAAAAGGGCACCATCCTTTGGATTAAATGTAAAACCAAGGTCCTTACTTTCTGTGGTCATTAAAAATCAAGTGTTTCTCGAAAAGAGTGGGAGTGTTAACTCCAGTATCCTAGCCAAATTTCTCCCTGGCCTTTTCCAGTCATGGCCTCCTAAAAATCCCCATCTATGAATTGGCTTCATTAGTCTGTTCTCCTCCCCACTGATAACTGATGTGTGGTACAGAGGCGCACTTTGGCTGTCATTGCATCACCCAGGTGGGTGCTACAGATTGATAGTGGTGTAGGGGAGTCCCCAGTTAAGTGCTTTGAGTGGAATGTCCAGAAAGCACTATACAGTATAACTGTAATATTATATTACATATTCTGTATTGAAAGCATCACTTTTTAAAATGTATCTAAAAACCTAGTTACAGTATATTTACTGTATGTATATAACCCTCACATTTTTGGATGAGGATTGTAGTTATAATTAGTTGAAATAATTTATAATTAGAAGTAAGAAGCAAGGTTGTGTACTTTTGTATGTACAGTATGTCTGAATTATATCACTCCTGTTTGTGCTAGTTTCTGCTGTCTCATAAGTTTTTTTTTCCCCATATGGGGCATTTTTAAAAATTATAATGTATTTAACATATTTTGTAAAAATTAAAGAAAATGAGATACTGTGTACACTAATAATAATGTCTATATTATTATTTTATTTTCCCACTGCTGAATCTCAAATGTATTTTACATCGTAGTTTTAATATTATTTAATATTTCATAATTTAATATACTTTACTATAAAGCACTGATGTTTTAATTGTACGTTTATTCAAAGTTTATCTCTTAGACACAGCAGATGGCCAGTTTCTTTTTTGAAATGGCTCCTCTGTGCTGTGTGCTAAATGAAAACAATGAGGTGATATGTTGTCTATAGTGAGGCACTTAAACTGCATTGCTACTCTGGCAGAACAATGTACCATATGTTAAACATTTCATTTGAAATGAAGTGATGCACACGCAAATTCCATTGTTCTTTTTAAATTTGCTTCACTATCTCATGAGAAAACTTAACAGACTAGATAATTTCTGCTTCAATTGGCATTATTTCTCTGCAATGACATGGTATACCACTCCTCTCTGACTGCAGCTGGCATGAACATGAGCCCAGTCTCTCGACTCAAGAAGACCTGGGGCAAAGTTAAGACAGCCAAATTTGATATTCTCGAGGTAAGGGCAATTCAGTTTGTGTTGTGTTTTTTGGGATAATGACAGCATTTGTGGGCAGGTGAAAAAACTGTGGGTGAATGTGTGAGTTTTATGAGAGCTTACACTGAGAAATCTGATTCACTTAAATACAACTATTCGGCTTTTTATTAAAAACGTAAAATCAGTTTGTGGGTATGGAAGATTTACTGGTTAAGTGATTAAGAATAAAACTCATATCCTTTCATGTTCCAGTCTGATGTTGCCCATAAATGTGTTTTTTTTTTTCAAAACAAGCATGGTGGCTGTTTTTCCCCTTTTTTTGTCATGAAACTGCAAGTTTGTCTTGTTCGAGGTTTTTGCTTAAATAATGAGCAGATGCAGTGGAAAATTTAAAATATATGGACATGTGAGTTTGTTTTTGTGACCTTTATCTCTTGAGTATTTCAGATATTTCACACTAAGTTTACTTTCTGAAATGATTCTTGTCAAGTGAGATTATTCAGTGTTCCTCCCGGGAACTTAAATCAACAGATAGTCGATCAGCAGTCATTTCAAATGTCCCTTTAGACCTTTGAATTCCGTCCTCTGGAGATCATGTCCTTAAATCAAAGAGTCTTTTGAAATGTTAATCAGGATACCACATCCCTAGATTGTAGCTAAAATGTTTGACCATGGTTTCATAGTTAGGTTTTATGCTTTATTTCCATTGACAATGCAACTAAACCTGGCTTGGCAGTCCCAGGTAAATAAAAAACTTGATCCTTAGTTTTTTCCAAGAGCAGCCAGAAGTACAACTTTCTTTTGTAGTTGTATAAGACAGAGAGCTTTTTGTAGAGATCATAGTACCTCATAATGGTACATTTTTAAGAAAATAATAGTCGATTTGTTCAGAAAAAAATGCCTCTAACAATATACTGTATGCTGAGTTATTGCTATTTTGGTAGCTGTTGGTATATGACTACAATGTAGCCACAACAGTTTGAGAGGTGACTGCATTTTGATAATGTTTTTTAAAGGGAAAAAAAGTGATGATTTATTTAGAACTTCTACTGAATGAAGAATATATCTTTGTTATATACAGTATTTGATTGGGGAATTAATTACAAAGTGTTTCATGTACAATTTATTATTAATCAGTTTGGTACATGTAGTTACTTTAACATATAAACAACAAAAAATAAAACTGTGGGGCAGCAGAGAGAAGTACCTATTTTAGCCTAGCTGTCCCAACTGTGCAACTGGAGAATAAGCGAACCTAAGACATAAGGTTTTAGGCCCTACACTGAGTGTAGCAAATAACTGAATCACAGTTCACATGCTGTCTGACCAAGAATACTGAAAAGATTAGATATCGTTAAAGATTGTATAAATTATATACATTATCATTTGATAAATGTTATAGATATTAAGGCATGTAAATCATATGGCTAGCTTTTATTACTAGTCTTAGCTTTTACGGCAGCTGACCTTTTGATTTTGATTCTGCAGCATCAAATGGATCCATCGAGTAATTTCTACAATTACAGAACTGCACTGCGTGGGGCAACCCAGAGATCCTTAACAGCACACAGCAGCAGAGAAAAGGTAAATACAGCACTCAGGTCCTGGGGAGAAACTCAGTTTCTCCCCAGGACTTTTGACTGGAATGAGTAGGGCTGTTAACAAATTTGAAATGCTCTGGAATTTATGTATAGTTACAATTCATTTCAATTCAATTTTTCAATTGCCCCAAGGCGCTTAACAAAGCAAGTGACCATACATGCTGTGAATACAGAACAGAAAAGACCAGAAGACAACAGAGGAGAGGAACCAAAAACTTCTTAGTAAGGTGAAAAAAAGCTCTAGGGGTCCAAGGTCAACTGGCTGCCTAACCCCTTTGGGCATGCTAACATTATACAATTAAAAAAAAGGGAAAAATGAACTCATACATCAGGAAGACCACAGAAACCAAAATTATCCTGCAGCTTGGATCACACTTTTCCCCTTCTCTTAACGACAGACTACTTTTCTTCTAAATTCTCTCTTTTCATTGTAGGTTTCATTTCACACTTCTCTACATCTATCCTGACTTCACACCTCCTGACAGGCCTCTCTTTCTGTCCCCTGCTCCCACCCCTCGCTCCTCCTCTCTCCCAGCTTTTGTTCTCCCACTACATTACCTTTGCTTACACCCCTGTCTTTCTCACACCTGAAGAAGGCTCTTCTCTTTTCAGCATGGAATAAGCCTATTACTTGTTCCATGTTTCAGACATATGATAAATGTCTCTATAATTAAACATTTTACAAGCAAATAGATCTCTTCAAATTTTTAGTACATAAGGACATCTACAACAAGAACTATAGAACAAGTGATATATTTCCACCATGTTCCAACTGCAAGCACTGGCTTAAAAAGTTATGGTATTATTTCAACTGTTAATACTCCATTTGGAGTATTCAGGCCCTGAAAGCAATTTGAATATATCATAATGTGACAAAATAATAGAATCATGACTGGAGCCAAAGAAGTTTGCAGGTGATCAAAATCCATATGTAGTGTAACTAGATTGTTATGTGTCCTGCAGTAAAGTGGGATAGAATGGTTAAACTGTTTTGTCAATGCAGCCATGAGATGACAGATAGAAAAAGTGAAAGAGATGGGAAAGTGCCAAAAAGCTACTTTTGACTCTTATAAATGATACAGAATTCAGGTGTGGGAGTTGTGCACTAGCACGTTTTGATGAGATCCTCCTGTATTCAACAAGAGATAATGCTCTCCAGGCTTAATAAATATTTCATATCATTGTCTGGCAAATCTAAACACATGTGCTCATTCCTGCACACACTGTTTCTGCTAGGGTGCATCAGTCTGAGGATTCTAGATCTAAGAAATGTGTCCCATTTCTTATGGGACACTATCATTTTATTTAATTTTCAAACTGATGCACAGAGTGCCTTTTAAAGCCTGTTTATATACTTCTTCATTTATTAATACCTAAAAATGATGGTAACTAATGATTTATTGGTTAATCACATTATTATGTACAGGGTGAAAATAAATGCCTTCATGATAAAAAAGTCTGATCACGATGAGTAATTATTACAGAAAATCTGATATAAATAGTCGTCTATTTATATCAGGCCATTGCACCTCCAATCAAATGAAAAAAGTGGTGGAAAACCTGACAGACATTAAAGATCTGTGGCTTATAAACATATCAGTAAAACCTAGTATTTTGTATAAACTTTGTTAAAAATCACTATTAGCATTACTCTCCTAATTATATGGAAAAAAAACAAATATAATTTTTATTGCTGTAATGTTATGCATAATGGAGCATGGAAGACATAATATTTTAGTTCACAGAAACTGATGTCAAAATAGATGTTTTCTTTCTAAAGATATTATATTTTTTTTTGGAAATGAGGCAGAAAGCCCACTTACATTTTGTTCTACTGGGTATTTTGGACTATAAATTGCCAGCTAACAGTACACTGCATTTTTACACTTCTGTATCACAACATATACACTTTTCTGACATGATCTGCATATTTACTGCAGGCATTTATTTTGTTTAATTTTGATACTTTTAATACTTCAGATTGTATTCAGGAAGGTGGGGGGACAGATACCTGGTCATTGTATTTTGGATCTTAAAGGGTTAGACTGTGACCGTGAGAATTAGAAGTCATGTGAAGGAATTTTCCCAGGCCTTTGGAATGTTCCCTCTTTTGACTTCTAGGGAATTTTACGTAGGTCATATCTTTCCAAACAATGCTCTGTTTTTACTGTACAGAGCTCTTGTGTTCCCAAAGTCAGCTGAGTTTGTTTTGAACATTTTGTTCATGTTGCTTACTGTAGATAAAGTAAGAAAAAAGAAAAGTGTTTTCAATATTTAATTTTGAAGGAGAGAAATTTTCCTGATAATAACATAACACAAGTAGACGTATAAATGATTTTTATTTAATTGATAGAGATTATTTATGGTTTCCCACCCCAATTTAAGACACAGATTTCAATACATACTGCATATTGTGGACCCTGCTCAATCTATTCTACCTTTAAAGTATGAGAAACTTTTGAAATATCAGTATTCCCCTTGTCTACAGTAGAGCTAAATATGTGACTATGTTCTTGGACTAAAGCCTTAGTGGACTGAATAAGGCCTTAAACCTGAATAAAAAGGCCAAGAGGAAAGTAATTGGACTAGAAATCAGATTTAGGATCTTGACATACAGGCACAACCATAATGAAATCCTATGAAAAGACTTGTGGGATCAGGCTGTATATGTCACCTGTGTAAAACATTTGCTGAGAATACATTGTGTTCCCCATGTAATGAAAGAGATAGCACCTAAGTTGAGGATGAAGTCTACTCTGTACTTGTTATACTGTCATTTGTTGTAGAACCTAACAGCATGCTTGAGAGCCAGTGTTCCAGTCCTTTTCTGTATACAATTTTCTTTGCATTGCTATTTCAAGGCTATTAGGGACTGTTTTTTTTATTTGAACTTTTCTTTCCAAGATGTATACATTTGCATGGGCAAGTACTTCTGTTCATTTTACTGTGCCACTGCAATAAACATTAATTCCCTCTCCTTTGGGCAGGTTATGTGATGCCAGTGAGAAATAGCAGAAATTAACATGGGCTTACAACTGTCGAGTAAAAGACCTCATTTAGACCTCATTTAAATCCCTGAGTAAGGTACTTCACCTGAATTGATCCAGTAGAATACCTAGCTTCATAAATGGCTGCAAATGAAAATCACTTTGGATAAAAGCATCAGTGCATCAGCCAAATTAATAATAGGAGTTGTTTATTCAAGTTGTTTTTTTTTCTTGTGTGCAGATTGTTATTCCATTCTTCAGCTTATTAATCAAGGATATCTACTTTTTAAATGAAGGCTGTGCTAACCGACTCCCCAATGGACACATCAATTTTGAAGTAAGTATTTTTTCTTTTTTGCATTTTTAGATGATTAATCTCAATTCTTGAATTAGTGATGTATCAATTATGCTTTCGCTAGGAAGTGAAAATTTTCTCATTATTTTTATTTAGATGTTCTAACATATTCACTTTAAAAAATAATTATTCAAAAGTAAAATGTACAACTAACATATAATTTAGCATGTTGGGAATAGGTATAGTCCATATAACTGGAAAGTATTATGTAAAGTATTATGAAAGTATTATATCCATGACTCAGTACAGACTGGCTAGCCAAAGCCAAAATAGGTTTTCTCAATTTTGCATGAGGAGCTAGTTTTCTTACTTTTTCTTTCTTACTTGTTTGAAAGCACTTTTTTCAAACTTAACATAAACATGTACTGGGTATCTTTATATCTATAAGGTATATGACTTTAGTACTGCAAACTTCACATCCTGAAATACTGTACATACAGTATTACAGTACATGTGTGCATCAGAACATAATGGATTTTGTTTAGTCTTTTGAAGTAGTTAATTTAAGACATAACATTCTTCTTTAGAGACAGGAAAGAATAAACACGAGCAACAGAAAATAATTCTATTACACATTAATTTTAGAAATTCTGGGAGCTTGCTAAGCAAGTGAGTGAGTTTATGACATGGAAGCAAGTGGAGTGTCCCTTTGAGAGAGATCGCAAGATCCTTCAGTATCTCCTTACAGCACCAGTGTTCAATGAAGATGGTAAGTCTTTGACCTGCTTGCAAATATAACTGCTAAAATCAGCCACAGGATCATTAGGATTTAGAATTCTAAAAATTTCAGTTTAAAGAATTTAGGCTCGATGATTGTCAGTTACAACATTTAACCTAATTAGAGCAGGGTGCTTCTCTTTTTATTGAACTAGAATTTAAGACACTATTTTCTGTATTACTACTCTGGAGTTGTTCTCAATAAAGTTCAGGTAGGTATATGAATTCTTATTACAAAACTGCAGGAGTTTAGAATATCTCCACCCTTAATTTAAAATCTGTTCTGAATCTATAATTTGCACTCATATGCAGAGACTAGATATAGATTTTGTTGTGTTGTTGCACAAGTAGAAAATGTGTATCCACTACACTACACGCTGTAAAAAAATAAAACAAAGATAATCATTATAGACCACAGTAGGGATGTTTTTGGTTGTTGTATCGGAAATGAGAATCTTTGCATCTATTACACTTCTTAAGGATGATTTAACCTTGCCAAAAGAAATTAACTAAACTATCTGTGCATGTTTTTCATTAATTTTATAGGGGGATTTTTTTTAAAACAAACCTCGCGCATTTCAGAACACGTTCCTTTAAAATGTATATGTTTAAGGCCTTTGCTTTGCTTTCATAATTTAAAGTTTAAATTTCTTACAGTTTGTTTTCATTCTTGTTAAGTAATTTTGCCAATATAAAGCATTATTCTTACCTGAGTTTTTTTTTGTTACCAGCATATCTTTAAAACTATTCCAATTCAGTACAAGTACCAAATAATTTTGGAGATTCTTATCAGTGCAAGACTATGTTCATGAAAATATCTATACCCAATGAGTTGGTGTTTTGAAAAGATAATCTGCAATTTAAGTTTGTAAGAGGTTTATACATGGCAAGATTAATGCACATTACCTCTTCTTTATGCAGCACTCTACTTGGCCTCATACGAGAGTGAGGGTCCTGAGAACCACATTGAAAAGGAAAGATGGAAATCTCTGAGGTATGTATAACAGCTCAGAGGTCATCTTCATCTATGAGGCATGTTCAATAACATAACCAGATATCACCAAAATTTAATTTAATTTAGTTCAAACCCAGTAATAAGTTTCTTATTCACAGTGTCATTGTAGTGTTCTTTTCATATTTATGTGTCGAGCCGTAAATGGGGACTCGTGTTAATTTGGTCAAAAGGTAATATTAAGAGTGACATTCTTTTACAATTTCACTATGAAAATTTGAAATGAAATTAAAAATGCCAGGACAGAAAAATACCCTATGTATTTAGTTTGAAATTCTAAGATCAAACCTATGGGATGTTTTTAGATTTATAGAAGCTGTGACTGGTGCAGTATAATGCTGATTGTTTTATCTGGGAATGGAAAGTCACATGTGGTAAAGTTTTAATAGTAGAAAGAGAACACAACGTTTCGGCCGTGGAGCCTTCTTCAGTTTTAATAGTAGTTCAGGTGGGTAGCTGCGTCAGCATGTGTAGGCTGCAAAGGAACAAGTAATAGGTTTATTCCATGCTGAAAAAAAGAAGAAAGAGAACACAACGTTTCGGCCATGGAGCCTTCTTCAGGTGTGAGATAGACAGGGCAGTAGGCAAAGGTAAAGTAGAACAAAGGTTGGGAGGGAGGAGGAGTGAGAGGCGGGAGCAGGGATGTGTATATTTTGTGTATATCATTACAAAGTTGTTTGAGATCAAATGAAATGTTCTGCTTACCAAACGAGAAATGATAATTTTTCATAACTTATTGTTTTAATATATCAATGTACACATTGCCTGAAGAATCCCAAATGTGTATATGGCATTGTTATTGTCTGTGAAAGAGGAGATAAGTATTTGTCTTACAGAAAGCCATGCTTCCTCATCAAAATGAATTGTGGCAATGGGCAGCTTTACTCTTCCATAGTAACTTGGTTTTACAGTGTCCCTATAACAGGGTTCACTGTATGTTGGCTAAATGTGTCTGTAAACATACTCCGGGGCACTGGATGTGTATATCATTACAAAGTTGTTTGAGATCAAATGAAATGTTCTGCTTACCAAACGAGAAATTAGCATTTTTCATACCTTAGTGTTTCAGTTCCCCGGCATATTTCTTTAGACTCTAATCATATTAATTGCTGCTTCACAAGATTGCATAAATTTGATGATGATTAAATTTGATGATATAAAGAAAACAAATAGGTTCAGATCTAATTGTATTTTTTTTTACTTTATAGGTCTTCTCTACTTAATAGAGTATAAGTACTGAAGAACAAGATAGTGGACTATGGAGTAACAGGTTTTATGGTTGCCATTAAATGACGGAATCCAATGTTTGTATGAGATAAAAGTATTCTCATGTGAAGGGAATGACAATCTGTACTTTGCTGACATGGACCACATTGTTCACCAACAGAGAAACTGTAAAAGACAGCTAACTTTTTGCTCTATTGATAATGATATTTCAGGAAACATTTCTTCTTTTTTATGAATTTGTAACCTTTTTCTAAACAATGAACTAGCAAGGATAATACTGAAGAAGATGCTTACCTTCCTTCTTCATTTAAATAATGGTCTGCAAGGTGACATCATCATCTGAACGATCTTCAGGAATCAACCATTAGGTTAAGATGAGGTCATTCCATAAAGCATTAAGGGACATGGATTCTTTACAGATACCATCAATACAATTTTAAATTTTATTTTTGTTTTGAATTACTTATGGGTTTGCTGCTGGCTGGCTAACTCAGTTATTTGAAAACTATTGTTTTGGGACTGGTGTTGAATATATGGGATAAAGAAGTGTTTAAATACCTTAACTGGAATACAACTAATTAAATTAAGGTTAATAATGTTATTTGCAAGTTTGTTTTTAATATATATATATACTTTTGTACTTGTAAATATAATTAATTATTATGTTATTCTTACCCATAGTGGTTAAGCACATTCTGATCATGTTTTTTTGATTAAATGTTCTCTGTTAACTGCACAAAGTGCATTTATTTTAAAAAAAGATGTCATTTTTTGTGACTAATATATTCCTTTACGATACAGTAAAGCATTTCAAGTATCACTTTGGCATGTGATCACGAAGATGACCCACCTGTACATGTGAAGATACTGTTTGTGATTAGTTTTGCATTCTGTCATTTTAAATGTATTACAAGGGCATTGAAGTTCATTTAGCTTCAGGCACTTATAATTGTCCACTATGTGTGATTAAAAACCTTTAGGAATCACATAAAATCTCATTTAAACCCAGTTTCAGTCTGCTTAAAGAGGATGTCAGTCTCAATTTCTCAGACCAGTTATTGAATCTCAGTAAAAAATTAATTCATTTAAAGTATGAAAAATATTTCGAATTGAGCACAAAATCATGAGCTTTGTAAAAGTACCGCAAGTCAACATTTTATTGAAAACTCCTGGTCTTGCAACAGGCGATTGTTCCCACGAATTGTGACGTGAAGCTGCCCTTACTGCTCACTAGTCACTGTAATAACTAATATAATGCCATCTATGAGTGTATTAAGTACAGGTTGTGCGGCAGATATTTCACCGCAGAAAGTTTCCAATGTGATCTGCATGCAGTTAACAAGTCAGTTCCATTTATAAGCTAAACCGTCTCAAAATCAAGAGTAATATTTCTATTGTATTAAAAGACATGTATTCACAAGCCAGCTTGTTTATAATGTAATAGGGCTGCTTCACGTCACTAGAAGTTTTGTTGCCTCATTCTGAATGTGGTGCTGCGCATATCTGGACATTTTATCTCTTTTGTGAAGTAAACTAGGTTTTACATTTTACTTTTATTGTGGTTTCAAATGCACATATCAATGCTAAATCCTTCTAACCCCAAAATCTAAAAATAGCAATGTGGTTCCCCTTTAAGAATGAGGTTGTGTAGCTCACTGGTTTCAAAAGTTCATGACAAGTGGTTACCTGTATGAGGTCTATCTATTTTTATGTTGTTGAGATACACAAAATATTAATTTATGATGTGATGCATCTTTGTACGTCTTACATAATGACTCTTCAGCGTTTGCATTTACAGTATATTCAGAGATGGCGTTGCTAAGGTTTGGGGATTTTAATGAGATCTTTTTGGTTGCTTTTTTATGGACAATGTTATTTATTTATATTATTATTCCCTATGTAGAAGTCCCCTGTGTTATCTATTACATTTATTTTAATCTTTTGAATTTGTAAGAGGTACACAACATTCTTAGATAATAATGACTTTTTTGTTCAACTTATTTAAAAAAATAAAACTTAGTAAGTGGTTATAATTTTAGGGTACTTGAAATTGTTAATTTTTTTACTCTTGTCAAGTTTACAATGCCCTTACGTTTTTCTCACAACAGGTCAAATGATAAATTATGGCTTAATGTGTAAATAATTTATCCCTTTTTTCTGTCCACGCTAGTATATGGCATAAAACAAGTGTTTATAATTTATGTAGCTGCAGAAACTTTGTAAATAAAAATAAAGGATGTTGAATATGAAATTTAATGATGATTTAATCTGACCTATTTTTGTCTTATTTTTTTGTCTTTAACTTTGGAACACATTAAATGCTGGAGTTTACTGAATACAATGATAATCATTAACAAAGTACTTTTCATTTAGGATCCAGTTCGACCTCAACTGAAGTGCAGTACCAAATTTGTGACACACGGCAGCCATTTTGTGTCAGCAGCCCTACTAGACAGGAGATCAAGTGGGAAAGTGAGAAGCTGCATCACCAATTGATTTATGATGGAACTTTATGAAGAACAGATTGTGGATACCCAGAGTTGGAATTTAGCCATGACACCAGGTTTAGTACCTAAAATCTTACAGACAATACTGTCTTCATTGTTGCCTATTAGCTATAGGAATATATAGGAAATAATAGCTGTTAATAATTGTCCCAGTAAATGCACAAACCCCTACATTTACTGGTGCCTCATGAGAGGATGCCTACAGGAGCAAACTCATGTAAACATAGGGAGAGAATATAAACTGCGCAGTTAGCACCCCAGGAAGTGAACCCAGGGCTCCAGCCCTGTAATTGTTGAAATATTCGAAATGATCAAAAGATTAATAAAGGAAAAAGGAACACCGACAACCATATTTGTCAGTCCTGGTCCAGGGACTTTGAAACTAAAATTATACTGCTACAGTAGAAGCATCAGAAGCAGCACTCTGGACTTATTGCATAACCCCCGTAGTACCATAGAGTAAACCCCTTATATAAATGATGTGAAGATAGATCAGGATACAATGAGGCTACAGGAACAACCAGATAGTCCAACTAAGTGTTTTGTGAAACAAAACATGGTAAAATTCTCAAAATTTTCAATGCTTCAATAAATAACATAACAAAGGTTTCAAATGAGAATAGGCCTTTTGACCCTTCTAACTTTTGTTTGCTAGCAGTTAATTTATTCTATGATCCTATTTTGAATAATGGGAAATCAATCTATGTATATTGTAACCTTTGGAATAAATTGAATGACAAAATGGGGTAATTCATTACAAAAATAAGTCATATGCTTTTAAAAACAATAATTGAAATCCAGTATGAAGGGTAGACAATAATAGTACTCTCAAGTTGCATTTTTAGGCAGTATTATGAAAGTGATTAATAATGTATGCAAAATCAGATAATAATGCAAAATCAAATTCAATTTAATTTGGACAAAACTGTCAGAAAGTTGCCTTCACCACAATACATTGCTGGCATAACAAAACATATATACATTAAATTAACTTTGAATAAAAAGTATGATGTCAGACACCAGCACATCAATCACATGAAAACTGAATAAAACAACAATGTACAGTACTTTATCAATTCACATATCTACGTTATTACCACTAGCAGCTGAGAATGCAATATTTTTCATGCCAGCAAATGCAATTTACTGCTGTCAATTTGCATATAAATCATTTTCAGTGTATACAAATGAAGAAAATACAATGCATTTTGACTGCATTACCTCCCATCATATTAGTACTATCTATTCATTACTGTACTAGTAAAACTCTACTTATGCAGTGGAAAACAAATCACAAGATAGTAACAGTATTCACAGCTGTGGATAAACAGTAGGTGTTTTGAATAATCCCCCTAGTGTTTACTGTAACCATAGGTCACAAAGAAAGGCAGTTCCACCTAGAGATTTATAATTTATGCTTTTTATATCAAAGTATAAAAATGTATTATATTATTTATTGCAAAATGTTACAAAAAGAGATGTCCATTCTCAAAATGTATTTCTTTATAGTTTCCATGGTTTGGTTTACAGTTAATTCTGAAAGAGTCCAATTGAAACGGGAGCCGGTCCTGACTCCCATGTAGTGCGTAGTTTAGGACCCTGTGCAGACGGCATAATCTGGAAAATGGCTAAGGGATGGTGAACAGGGGGTGGTGCCGACAGTGAATCCAGGTGCAGGCAAACAAGTCCAAAAACAGTCCAATATAGGAAATCCGGGAAGCAATCCAAAATGCAAAATCAGGGAACCCATCCAAGACAAATCAATTAAAAACAGGAACAGGGGCATGGAACAAGGAAATAAAAAAATGGAGTGACGAGGCCAGGCACTCCGAGCCCCGGAATCAGCTTGGTCAGGACACCGTTAGAAAGCCTATGCCTTCAAGCCACAGACGTAGGGCAACTTGATGCTAGGTGGGCCTCCGGGCGTCCATCTTCCAATGCAGAGGAGTGAGGGAATGAGAAAAACAGCACCTTCACAAGGAGTCTTCTTTTAGCAAAACAAATGGAACTTCAGAAGAAATAACGACATCCAAGAATTAAGCATATTGAATGGTTTCTAAAGCCCTTTAAGTCACGGTTAATTTTACTTAACCCACTTGGCTGAGTGTCAAGCTCATGGCCAGAGGCCAAGGAGGCTATGACCCTTCTGCAGAATAAAGTGTGCAAGGGGCTGCTGCAAAGGTAGATATGGGATGGAGAAAAAATGCAAAAGATAAGGAAAGGAGAGAAAAGGATTACAAATAGTATATATAGTTTTGTATGTGAGGAAATGACACCCGAAATGATTACAAATCACTGACCACTGAGGTTGATTGAACTTGGCTGCTGACATTCTTACCAAACCTTTGTTATAAACTCCATTAATGGAACAGCAGGGAATGTTATGCATTTTGAATGGTCAGTTTAAAAAACATGCTAGGAAAACATAAAAAAAATAATTGGGTCGAGACAAGTTTTTACCCACTTGTGTCTATAGAAATGGGGGAAGTTATATACAGTATTCAGTACTGTATATATACTATTAAATACCATAATTCAATACTTCTTAGGGCAGGGTATGTGAAAAAGTAATATCTATTAATATAAAAGGCCAAAACAGAACAAGAGACCTCTCAATCAGCCTCGCCTCAATTACATCTAAAAGTATTGAAATAAAAGATCTATATTAGAAAAGCTTTTAATGAACTGCTTTCTAGGAGATAGTCAACATGAAATGAATGAAGACGTTTATTGAATGTAACAAAGCTATGAGATATCTTTGAGCAAGTGACTAAAACAGAAAATAACTTTGGGGAATAATGACCTTAGATATTTGGATTTAAAAAACGTTTTTGCTAAAGCCCTAAATGAAAAACTAACATTCAAACGTATCTTCTTTAATAAGTGAGATGAACTGAACTTTTTCAAGGTTCAAACGGAAGTCATTTTCTTTCCCCTGTTGGACTGTTTTCACTCCATGGTGACATTTACATAAGCCCTTTGTGGCAACAACATAGGACAAAGGGTAATTTAAGAATTTAATGGCAGTCCACAGTGGCTACAATGACACTATTTTACTGTTATCACCCAACAACATAAACAACTACTATGAATCATTGGATAGTTTATGTCAATATTCCCATAATTGTTCTCTCTTTTGAATTCTTCCCTTGTGTAACAAAATCAGAGCACAGATTTCAAAATTTGGCTCTCATCATTATACTGAATTGTTATATTCAGTAAAAGGAAAGACTGAACCATCAGAGGACTAACAGTAATTAAGTAATAAATATCAGTAAAAAACTGACAGTAGCAAAATTTTTAATTCAAATTACCAATGAATTTGTGTTGTAGTTGTAATAACAATATAACATATATAGACATTTACAATAAAATATTAATTTTTTTATTGTTCTTATGCTATTTTTAGTCAATTTCATAGTGTCATATTACATAGATAATATGTTTTTTGTTTAAAACAAAAAACATATTATCAAATAATTACACTCACTCTCTGTTCCTCAGGAATCACACACTAGTTTCTGCTCATCTCCTCCAGTACAATTTGAAGATGCTCTGACCATAACTATTTTAGGAGTTGAGTTTTCTGCTATGAAGCCAATGCGTACCTTTGAACTCACGTATTTGCCAGGTACATTTGACTTTTAAAGGGAAAAAGGCAGCAAAACATAAATAAGTCAAAATATTGCCAGACTACCTCATTTTATTATACTGAATTACCAATCAAAAACCCATTATAGTAGTAGAATAGGTAATAAAACAGTATGCCATCAAATTTTGATTTCCATTGTAAAAAGTAACTTAGTAATAATAAATCATAAATGGAGAATTTAGAAAATAGTAAAACAGTGATTTAATTTGTAATTCGTATTTTTGAACACATCAAATCAAGGTTATCAGCTATATCTTTCATCAGTGGAATGACCATAAAAACTAATAAAATAACATTTTATGTATCTACTCTAGGGCATATGTCGTTCATAGCTGAAGGCCTAACATATACATTATCAAAATGTTAAAACATTTAAAGTTTATTTTGATAGTCTCATGTGTAGGCTGTAAAGTTGAATCAATATAGCTATCTGAAATAATCAGCAAAGTACTTTCTTCATTCACACCTAATTGATCAAGGACAATGTGTATTTTCATGACGTTTTACAATGTAAATATTACATTACACAAAAAATGTTTAATATTTGCTGTATTACTTTGACTGGAGTTCCCACATTCCTCCTTTTGTTCTCTTTTCTCTGAGAATAAATAATTTTCTGTGTTGACATTCTTGGTTCTATGCTCGATTCGGCATTTCACTGAGTTGAAAGACAGTGAATCTACTTAATTAATCATCAATGAAAAAGTGATTCATTTGATCCACTGTACTGATTTGTTCAGACTGAAGGAATCATTCACAAACAGCACAGTTCTAGTCTTAAAAGTATTATTTGTTTTAGACTTATTATGCAAATAATTCATTGATTAAATGATATATTTTTCCAAAGAAGTTTTTTTTCATAGCTATAGTTCCCTAAGAAGGTACATCAGTTTTTACTACCACTCTAGTTTTTATGAAAATAACTCCTTTGTATCTTTTATATTGTGTGTAGTAAGATTGCCTGAGTTATGTTAGAATCATCCTGCACACAATACTACAATGGAATACATAAAAAAATAATAATTATGAAAGATTTTTAAATAGGACTCAAAATTCCTTTTGGAAAGGCATTTCTTCTTCAACCCAGTGATCCAGAAAACAGT